CCGTGCCCGCGGGCGCCCAGCGCGGCCCGCACCGGCTGCCTGCCTGCCAGCTCCCGGCCCTGCCCGCGCATAAATTCGGACATTCAAACCCAAACCGTTGCCTGCCTCCCCCCTCCCAAACCATCAAAGTGTTGAGTTTTTTTTTTTTTTTTCTTCAGATGTCTCCATCTAAATTTAAACTTCAGACATCATATTACCTCGTTATTTTTAGAGCGGCGATTACTCAGTGTAGTTTACAGCCTCGCCTTCTCCCCCATCATTACTCTGTTTATCCCACCCCACATTTGCCTTTCTCTCGAGAAACAACGGGTAGGACCAGGGAAGCAGCAGGATTAGCCTTAACGAGGGAGAGCTCTCGCAGCACCTTTCCCAGAGGACTCACGTACCCAGCTCGTGCGGGAACTCCTCGCAGAGGATGGCCACGGAGGTGCTGATCCCTTGGAAGACGGAGACGGTGAAGGAGGCCCCGATGGCCAACCCGTCGATGAAGTTGTGGAGGCCGTCGCTGAGGGTGATCATCCACGCCAGCGTGCCGATGTCGGAGTACCGCACTTCCTTCAGCCAGTAACACGCGCTCTGGGAGGCCTGCAGGTCCTGCCACGGCACCCCGACGGCGGGGGCTCAGCACCCAGCCGGTCTGAGGGGCTATCACCTCTCCCTCCACCGCCCAGGAGAACCCACCCCTCCACATACTAAATCCACACGAGGCTTGACCCGAGCCATTTGCTTTCCACCACCCACGGTGGTGGAAAAGGTTCAAAACTGCCCTTTTGTCATTAACAGACTTTTTTTTCCCCACGCGCCCACCCACAGCCCCACAGGAGGAGGCACTAACCTGGACAGAGAGGGAGCCCACCACAACCTTCTCATCCCCGGAGGTGGTCTTGCACTCCAGCTCGCTGGTTATGTGCGGGATCATGTGGTCCAGGTCCCCGTTCTGCAGCTTCTCGGTAACCCCGTCCTCCTGGTCCTTCTTGGATGGCAGAGCCTCGGGGCCGTAGTGGCTGTGCCCGTGATGATGCTGCGGGACAGGGGGGAGATTCACGGGTCTCAGCCGCTCCTGCCACTTCTGCCGCTTCCCACCCGAGCAGCCCCTGCTCGGCCTCACCTGGTCCTTCTGCTTCAGGAGCATCTTCAAGACCTTCTCCGTGAAGAAGAAGAGGTAGAAGCCCCCGAACACCACGGCGGATTTGGAAACGTAATAATCTTCTTGAGGATTGAATCCAAACGCCTGCAGGCAAAAGGGGACAAGTGACAGGACTGAGGAACAGACTCCAGCAGCGTCTTTTGTCTGCCCTTTGCCCTGACACCTCTGGGGCAACGCTGCTGCTTTCTGACCCCTCTCTAAGCAGCGGCTGCTTTGGGAGCAGGCTCAGAAAATGCCTTTTTCTGCCTTTAATCTCCCTCACTCCCCCAGCCGAGCCAGCTCTGCCCCAAGGCATCGGATCCACCACCCTGCACCGGGGCAGGGATGCTAAACGCAGACTTAGAAAGCCTCTGCTCTCTCAGCAGAAAGGCAACCTGCCTGCGGGGCTAGAAAGGGCAATAAAATAGCGCTTCTCTGCTTGAAGCAGACCAGAGGTCTTCCTGGAGCGATTCCCTTCCGAAGAGGGGCAAAACCTCAGCTCCAGCTACGATTCCTGAGGGCTTCCAGCCTCTGTACCTCACTCTCGGCTCCCCTCCGACGCCGCCTTCCCCTTCTCCAGCCAGCGAGCGCCCAGAGAGAGAGAAACAGCCCCCGAGAGAGAGAGAAAAGGACGGACCCGACGGTCCTCACCCTACCTCGGGAATGAGCTGGAAGAGGGCGTTGGAGTAGAGAGTTCCAATCGCCAGAGCTATGAAGTAGAGGAGCAGCCGCTTGTAAAAGGTCTTCTTCATGAAGGGCACCACGCTGGCTCCCACCAGCGAGCAGAGGGAGATGACGGTCACGCAGAGGAAACCGTAACCCCAGACTGCGGCGTGCGTGCCAAACCCACCCCGGGGGAATCGGATGAGGGGAGGTTGTCGGAAGGAAAGGAGATCATCGTGGGGAAGGGGAGGGAGGGAGGGGAAGAAATCCACACCAAAAAGAAAGAGAGAGGAGAGAGGGGGGGAGAAAAGAGGACATTCATTAGTGATTGCTTGTTCATCCGGCATTGGCTCAAGAGGGGCGAACCTGGTGCTGAGTGGCTCTGGGAGCAGCTCTTTGGGAAGGGTCGGACAGACATGCCGCTGCGGAGCTCACGCCAAACGACCGGGAGAGGAGCCCTCCTTTGGAGCAGGCAGCTCTCTCTTAGTACCGGGCTGGAGCCGAGTTTTGGCAGCCAGGCCGTTTCGGCACCAGCACCCCAGCTCCGCTCCCTGGGCTCCCGCAGGACATCGGGCGGCTGTTCCAGTGCCACAGAGAGCCAAGGTTCCCCGAGCATCTCGTACGCTCCGTCCTCACCCTGCAGCCCAGAAAGATGCGGCCGGTCCCCGCAAGCCGCACCGGGATGCTCCGACTGAGGGTGAGGGTGGAGCGTACGTAAGGCATTTCAGTCTGTGGCAGATCAGGAAATATAGGCGCTCGCTTTTTACATTCGGCAAATAAAAGTCACAGTTCTGGAGTTGAAAAGAAGCCTTGAAAATACATCCCCCCGCCAACACGGACGAGGCGTTCGCTGCCCGAGAACAGAGCAGGCAACGCCGGGGGGCAAAACCCAACGGCAGCAAAGGGTGCTCTGCTCAGAGGGAAGGCTGCGCCTTAAATGCAGAGTTTTAAGGTTGGATGTGCAGGAGCTCAGATCCAGCTCATCTCCTCCCCAGGAGATGGGGAAGGGCTCTGTGAAGCACGCGTGTTTCCAAGGTGTCCAATCTGAGAGCGTGTGGCTGTATTTATTCAACTCCGGAACCGCGCAATTACAACACAATTAATTAGTGATGTATCTGTCGAGCCCATCAGAGCACCAGGAAACCTCACATAAGCATAAGTCCTTGCGGGAACATCAGTCTTGTAAATCAGAAGAGGGGGGGGGAAAAAGGCAATTAAAACATTTGTAAAAGCTGACTGACTGAGGAGGAAGCTGGTGCTTCTCCAGGCTGTTCTCTGTGCTTTTACACCAATATTTTCTCTGCCTCGCAGGTCTTTCCATCCGGTTCACGCCACGAGCACGGCCGCATCTCAGTGGCATCAGAGCCAGGCAGCTCTGCATGAAGCAGCACCGAGCACATCCCTCCAAGGGATAAAGTCCCTTGCGAAGCAGACACAGCCCACGGAGCAGGAGCAAACAGCTTCTCCCAGCACCTTCCCGGACCTCAGACCCGGCCACCAGCCTTGCAAGGACCGGCAGGGCTGTGGGGCACAGCCTCCCCACGCTGCCTGCACACTCGAGAGGGTTTCCTGGTGCTAGCAGGGGTGAGAAAAGCCCCTGCGGAGCCCCTGAGACAAGCCCTCAGCCTCGGGTGACGGAGGGATCAGTTCGATTTGGCAGGGTGGAGGCAGAAAGGGCGCCCGGAGAGCTGCCCTCGGAGACGGGAGAGAGGCAGAGACTTTCTACCGCACCTCTGGGATGAGCTGGAAGAGCGCGTTAGAGAGCAGCGTGCCGATGGAGAGCGCGATGAAAAACGTGAGGACCCGGCTGAAAAAGGCCTTCTCGGTACACGGTACGATGAAGACTCCGAGCAGGGAGGCCATGTTAATCATTGACACACTGAGAAAACCAAAGCCCCACACTGCGGAACGAGAAGAAACGAGGGCCAGACATTACCGAGGCTCTCGGTGCGGGGAGATGGGGAGGACCCCGAGACCCCGGATCCGGGCAGGCGGAAAAGGCTGGCTCCGGGTCTATGCCCCCACGCTGGGGCCGGCCTCGCTGCACCGGAGCGTCTCTCCCTTTGCTCTGGACACTTCAACTGTGACACAAACCATCATTTTTGTTGCAGAGCAGGTGGAAAGGAAGCCACCGGGTTACTTGGAAGAGGTTTTCCCAAGCCAGCCCCTGCCTCGCGGCATGGGAAAATCCGGTGCTGTGCTCAGGGCAGCTGATCCAAGACCCTGGCCATCATCAGGACCTGGACGTCTGGAATTTAGTATCTGCCGGTGGCTGGAGGCCATTGGGCCACCCCCTCCCACCCACAGGGAGTCACAGCAAGGTCCCCATCATCCGGCTATCCCGGAGAGCCATGCTGCAGGCACAGCTCCGACCTGCGGCATGTGCGACCCGGGGCAAAACCACGCTGCGAGCCCATGGCACAAACCACACCGAGGAAAACACATCAGGACTCCGGGCTGCTGTAGGCAATCTGCCTCCTCTCGTCTCCACCAGACTCTGCCTGTGCCCCAGAGCCGGGAATGGGAACCGGCTGTCCCGCAAGTCCTGGGGTGCCTCATGTTCCCGAGCTCTATGCGCACGGCTGGGCAGCGCTCGTTCCCCCCGGTTCCCTGCTTACCTTCGGCCGAGCTGGGTCTGCTCTCCTCCGTCTGCTCATTTTCCTCGTTTTCCAGGTTCTCGGAGGCGCACGCCCCAGACTCTAGCTGCTGCAGGATGGTGGGGCAAAACTCCTTGAACTCGCTGTGCCCCACGGCAGAGCCCTCGCTCAGGTTGTGGATGGCAAAAAGCTCAACAGAGCTGAAGCACTGGGGAAAGGAAAAGACAGGCACGTGCCTTGAGACTCCTGCAGCTCTGCGAAGAGGTTTTGGGGGTCTGCAGAGCCTCTGACTTACCCGGGAGAGGTTCACACGCTGCTGCGGTGGCTGGGAGACGTTGGCATGTCCCACTCCCACGTCCAGACGTTGGCCTTGCGCTGCTTCAGGCTCAGAGTTTCGCTCTCGCCGTACCGCTGGAGGAGATCCTGCAGGAAGGAGGCTGCGGAGAGCGCCGGTCCCACGGCATCCCTGCCTGCCCAGACCCGTGGGCAGGGGAGAAGGCAGAGCAGCACGAGCAGGCAGCAGCCCCGGGGGCCTGCGCTGGGGATCATGGTGTCTCAGGGATGCTGGAAGAGAAGCCACGTGCTGCCATTAGCTTTGGCATCCCCAGCGGCTCCGACCACCGCTCGTCCACCCCACAGCTCCATCAGGAGACGGCAGATTTCTTCTCCAGGGAGCCCCAGGCCCCGGGGGACACAGCTTTGCGCAGTGCTGAGAGCTCCCAGATCCCAAGGAGGGACTCACCATCTCTTCAAAGCCATACAATACCGACCGCTTCTCCTCTACCCTGAGCCAAACCCCCCGGCACCACCTCCCCAAGCATCCCGCTCCCCCCGCTTACCGCAGCCGTCTGCCGAGGGGTGGGGGGCTGCCAGGACA